CACTTATAAATTGTAATTTCACATGATATATTAAATAACGAAGAAATCAACCAAGAACAAATGGACAAATATATTTATATATGTAAACGTTAAGTATCCACCACAATTTAAATTTATTTTTAACTAAAAAAATACAAATTTACATTAGATAAAAACATTTACATTACAAAAATAATAACAAATTTATAATATTAAAATTACTTTAAAAAATTTTTTTTTCTGCTTTTTTGATTGGCAAAGTCAATAATTAATTTTTCTACATCAAGTTCTTCAGTGCGAGCTCTTTCTATATTTAATATACTTATGTTTGTTAGTTGGTCTTGAGATATCGAGTTTCTTAAATAGTTTTTAATCAGTTTAAGTTTAGAAAATGACCGTTCGGCCGATGCTACAGTCACTGGTAAACTTAAAAATATAATACAAGATGTAACAACTTCACTATACAAAGATGATAGGTCGTTTTCTATTAAATATAAACATAATTCTTTAATTGTTTTCATATCAGTGTTTTTTATAAATTCCTTTAAAGATAGAACTTGACTAGTTAAATCGGAAGTTACGTCAGTTTTGTAAAACTGAATAAAATCATAGCATGATTTTACTATTTCTGCTTCATTTAATTTTATTATATTTGGTGACAATAAAAAATTAAAAGTATTTTATACTACTTTAAGTCCTTTAAAACGATCTTCGAGTTGAAATAAAGCAGTATCAACTAATGATAAAAAAGTGTCTGCTAGATTTCATAGTTTCATTTTCATCACTAAAAATTATGTCCGAAGGAAAGTTTATTGACGGTTTGCAAGGACCATATGATAGAATTTGTTTTTTCAAATTAGAACTGATTGTGATATTTTGAAAATGTCCTCTATCTGTTGGAAACTCCAACTTTAAATCCAATTCACCAACTAATCATATGCAAATTAAAAAAAAAAAATTTTTAAATTTCTAGAATAGGTACTATAATAATTTTAACTAATTGATATATTCCTGGTTTATTAAAAATAAACTATTACTGATTCTGCTTTAACTGGTAACATGATTGTTGCAACAGAACATAATATATATTTTATTTATAGAGTATAGACATTAGACACATATTATTATCTATATTATTTTCTAATTTACTATGTAATAATTTTAAGTCTTTTTCTATTATTTAAAGAGGGCCACTTCGGGGCCCTCTAAATTCTCTGCTGGGGGTGCAATTAACTACGACGTAGGTAGTGGTACTGGTGATGAAAGTGATCAAGATCATCAAATATAATTATTATAGGAACCTACTATAGTGCATAGTGCCATTTATGTATCAATTATATAAGAATTGAATAGGCATGTAATATTTAGTATAATTATAAATAAATTGTAATGAAAGTTTTTTTATTTATTTCGTTATACTAAAAGCAACTTGTCATAGACTGCGGTCTTAGCTTCTAATAAAAAATAATTTAAAATTTAATTACTAATTAGTAATTAGGTGAAATTATAAAAATGTTTCAATGCATTTTCCTGCTTGTACCCTTAAGTAATATTATAACAATTTTTACTTAAGTCCCAAGTGAGTTAAGAATAAGGGTCAACATTTCCAAAAAAAAAGAGAAAAAACCTGGAATTTTCTGAAAAAATTGAAATATTGTATGTAAAATGGTTTTTTAAAAAACAAATTGAAAAAGTAATGTAAAATGAAAACAACCCAATAAATAAAGATAGTTGATATTACTTGATAATCATAATACATTAAAGGTTTCTAGAAATACAATATCCTACATAAATATTTAATGGGTAGCGTTGTTTTTAGAACAAATATTGAAATATCCCTATGAATAGTTAATACGCAATCAATGATACGTACGCCGTATGTTAATAATGAAAGGTTCTTTTATCTGTTTTTTTTAGTTGGGGTATTTTTATACTTAGATTATTTTAAGTGAGAATACAATTATTTGATTTTTCTAAAAATCCTGTTTTTTTTTTTAGTTTTCCGAAAACTTTAGTTTTTTTTGGAAATGTATTATTTTAAAATACTCCAATTTTTCCATATTTTCCAAGGGTCTGAAAGAAAAGAGGTTGTTTTCGAAATTTTTCTAGTATTATGATCCATAATAATATTATGAATATGTAAAATAATAATATTTTAAAATGTTCATTGTTCTATGCCTCTATGGTAAAGGTAACCAGATAGTAAAAATCAGTTACCTCTTACCAGAACAAACCGACTTTGAACTACGATCACGATTCAACGCTACCATACTTTATGAGGCTAGGAATAATAGATTTAAAATTATTTAATTACGTTGACACTTGACAGTTATTTTGACAGATGTCTTATTAACATACAGTACCAGTACCACCTATAGTTGAACAAATAAATAGTATAAGGGAATAGGTTGAGGACAGTAATGTTTATAAGGAGTTAAAAATAGGCAATCTTCGAATAGCATGCATGCGGATCTTGTAAATGTGTAAGTAGTAAGTGATTATCACTCATTAGTGTGTGCTACAGTACCTAATATAGTAATGTACCTATGCTCGTACTTTTTATGTATTTTTTGTCCATCTTACCGATCGACCTGATAATACCATAATGTTTCAGAAAACTGATCTCAATTTGTTAAAAGGTCTGCTGGAGATCGATCAGTCCAAATTTTGTGATTTCTGATTTTAATTCCGAATAATCAATGCTTAAAAATTCTTAAATTTTAGAATACTCAAACCAAATGTAGGTATAGAAATTGGGAAAGTGGACTAATGTCAACTAGATATCATAAACAATTCAAATCAGTTTTCAAAAATATTATAGCATTACTAGGTTGATCAGTATGATGAACAAAAGATTGGCATTGTTTGGCTAAAATAACTGATCACGACCAATCCCCTTAAGATGATCCTACCCACGCGTTCGTTGTCTTCGTCTTACCAACTTACGACATAACAAATTTTTATTCACTAGTTTGAATAATGTGCCGTTAGTTTTGATATTAGAGTGAATTTAAATATTAAGAAACTTTTTGGTAAGAACATAAGATGCTTAAGAGTTGGTGGATTTTCATGGATATTTTCATTTTCAAGCAAAATATGAGTAGGTATGTGAAACAGCACAAATCAAAAATGCTCATATTTCGCTTGACAACTAAAATATCTAAAAATCCACCGACGCTTAAGCATAGATAGTGATAGTTTTTCTTACCGAAAACATAGAAAATAGGTCAATTCACTCCAATATCAAAACTAACAGCTCACTATTGAAACTAGTAAACAGGAATGTTCTATATGTCATATGTGTGTAAGACTGAAACAACAAATGCATGGGTAGCGTCCTCTTAATAACGGTTCTATCCTAAGTAAATTCATGTTATACAGTATTAAAAAGTAGGAACATTTTTTTTAACAAGAATTATACAATCTGTAGTTTTTACCTTTGGGCACAAGAAGAATATGTGATATGATATTTTTTACATGAAAATGTGAGGGATAAAGCCATCCAGTGAGAGCACTTCCTATTTGTCCACCAGCTTCTTTTCAGTCGCCGTGGGGATTGCTTAGAATTGTGCGAGAAGCTACATTGGATATTAGGGAATTAGGATGATATGGAAGACGGAAGTCTGTTATGGAATCTTATGCAAAATGTTACTGCTACAACATGAACTGTTTTAATATTTAAATCTATGTGCAGAGTATAGTAGGAAACATATGGCGGGGCGTTAATAATTAATCTTAAAATTTTATTTTGAACAGTTTAGATTTTATTTAGATTGGTTTTTTAGCCATGTCCACATGGGCTCGATTAATGATTTGTATATGAGAAGTTAGGTGTGTTTGTTAAATATTAGTGTTTTGATTGAGCATAATCGTTCGTTTAGGGCGAGTTTTTTTGCTCTGATATGGGGCCCCCAGGTAAGGCGACGGTCAAAGGTTAGGCCTAAGTACTTAACCGATTGGGAAGAGGGGATTGATATGTTACCAAAGGAAACTTAGAAAGATTGAACGTAGCGTGAATGGATTTTGATTGGTTGACTTAAACTCGCCATTTATCATACCAGACAGACATTAGGTCCAGGTGGTTTTGAAGATTTGAAGAAACAATGTGTGGGTCTTTATGTACTGATGACCACATATAACATATAAATGTTTTTAAACTGTATACAGAATATTAATTGGTTGAGCTGTATAATAATACACGTCTTAGAAGCCGGGAATTTAGCATCTTCACAGAATGAGGTTTCCTAACTTGTTTAATCCCTAGAAACAGTTTTTTTTTTAAATTTGAAATTTGCAATAAACTAATATTTACTCTTGAAATACAAAGACTAAAAATGTTGCTACTAAGGGCAGCCTAAGTGTTTGACATATGTATAATTTGTTACTATAACACAGTGTTCAGTAGTCAGTATCTACTTGGTACAACAAACACTACGGAAAACTTATTATACAGTCTAAAAGTTATAGGTAACATACTTTTCAGATAATATATTGACCATACCATACAAACAATTCTGCTTTTTCAATTTTTATCAAAGGAACAAAAATATAATATTTTATTTTGCTAAAGTCTTCATAATTTAATTCAAAATATTCAATTTAAACATCAATACTTTATAGTCTTGAAAGTCAAATATTATTTACAATTATTGTTTAGTTATTATAATAAATACCTAAGTAAACAATATGTAACTTAATCCTAATTCTTATAATTCTTATAATATATCTAATATTCTTATATACTAATATCAATAAGTTAAAGTAATAAAATAATATGGTAATACATCAGTGATAAAAAATTACAACTAAAAATGTGATGAGTCATGTACATTGGATACAATATTTAATCTAATTAACATTTTCAATGTTAATATTACAAAAAAACTAAATCCATTTGTTATAGTAGGTAGAACTATTGATCTTATAATAAACAGAATAACCACAGATGGAAATATTTGAAAACCACATCTCCCAAGCCATTATTATATACCTACTATCCCATATATATTATAGGGAACATACCCATTATTGGTAGCAATAATCCAATTACCTCTTTTTGTACAGTGGTATAATATAGCACATATGTATATAATAAAACCAATGATTTTAAACTGAAGTGTGCATGTTATTAAAAAAAACCAAACAAATGTTTACACATAAAACAACTTAATATATTAAATGTTAGGACGTGCAAAAGTTAAGACTAGAATTTGTTGACGTGCTGAGGCGCTTCAGTCTCCAAGGGGTTGCCTTTAAGTATAGCTAATATCATGCTAAAATAAACAAAATTATTTATTAATAAAGTCATTTAGATGGTATCAATTAAAAACATCCTATCACCTATCTAAAATTCTAAAAGTACTTGATTATAAGAATTCTAAAATGTAAATGATTATACTTAATTAATTAATATAACAATTGAAAAAAATGTAAATGTATTGAACATTTTTAACATGTTAACTGCCATGCGGTCTCATGAATATTTATTATTTGTTCATTTTTCAGTGTCATTATAAATTTGTATGTATACTATTGAATTTGAAAAAAAATTAAAAATACAAAAAAAAAATGTTAAAATTATGTTTATACATCAAACAATTGCAATTTTTCCCGCTTCGCCACAGCGCATTTTCTAGATCAGCGGTTCTCAAACTTTTTTTTTTCGCGTACCACTTAAGTATATTATCAATCAGTCGCGTACCACTAATGGTTAAAAATAGAAGGATACAAACTTTATATAGTTTAATACATTTATTTTATATAAAAATGCAGTAAAATACTACGATATAGTTATTATTTATTTATTAATACAAATTTATTAGTGTTTGAAAATGAAGGTATGAATTCAATAACAAATTTTCTATGAGAACCATGGATTTGTAGATTTGATATTAACGATGAAATATCTGGTTCAGTGTTACTTAAGACCTTCCGTGTACCAACATGTAGTCTTTCGAGTACCACAGTTTGAGAACCGCTGTTCTAGATCATTATTGTCGAGCCAAGGAAAAGTGAATAATATAAATCCAAATTAATTTGAAGGCAGCCCGCGGCCGTATGGCCTCCTAAGACTGATATGGTGCGGCAGCCGGCGGTCTAAAAATTATCAATACCTAATTTTTTTAAACGAACGCAGGCGGCCGCATGGCAGTCAATGTGTTAAATCAGAAACTTAGAAACATAAAAAAATAATATTTATGAATGTTGATTCCCAAAGTTAATGGATTTTAAATATGACTTAACGTATGTCTCATCAAAAATTGTTTTAATTTATATTTTACCATACATACCTAACCGTATAAGAGTAAATATTAAATATTCTATATCACAATAATAATTTGAATAATTACAACACAATTTCTAACCCTAACAATTTTAAATATAGAAAGCCATAACCTTGGTATAAAACTATACCTAATTTTGAGATCTTTAAATTATAATAAGATCTTACTCAAAATAGATTCTATTTTAACAGTATAATAATTTTTACTTACAAATATAAATAGAAGAAAAAAGTAATGAGATACCATCCAGTAAATATTACAAAATTACGCATATGCTTTTTTAATTGGCCACGGTGGTGAATCTCTGTAGGATCAAATAATCCCGTATTTCCTCTGGGTACAGTGACAAACCTGTACAAATTATAAGGGAATAAATCTTTAACAAAATGTTGTCTAACAATTAATATGTATCAAATGCTTACTCATAAATGACCCATGCAGCAGCTGGTATGTTTACAAGGGCCATCCACAAATTGCTATCAGTCAAAAATCCTACTACTATAATTGTTTGTGCAACAATTTTTGGTCGTACCCACTGAAAAAAATATATTAGATATAATAAACATAATAACTAAAAAAATGAATTTTAAAATCATAAACAGTATGACATATGAGTGTTTATATTGAAAAAATAGAGAAAGGAATGCTATGAATTTTTACTAAAACCTGTATGTATCGTAAACAGATATCATGTCTTAAAAAAGCTCAAATTATTTTAATACTTTTAAGTTAATACAAATAAATACTTCACCTAAATTAAAAACTGACTACATAATCAATAAGTTATTAGTTATTTGTGTCATAGAAAAAAAAAACTAAGTATTAAATAATACAACAATATGGAGTTTAAATATTAGGTAGAAATAGACTCGAAACATAGGTACTTAATAATTATTACTCACTCAATACATAAGAATTGTATCTCATTGTTCATTATTTTTTTTTAACACTTTAAACTAAATAATTAATATGTAGGTATGCTTACAAAATTCAGTCTGTTACAACATTCTTGAGCATTTAAATAATCACATTCAAGATCTGACAATGTTATTATCTAAATAAAATATTTGCTAAGAAAAATAATAAGTAATAGAATACAAAGTATACAACAAAAATATAATGAAATTAACATGCCTTATTACTTACAAAAATTAATAACATAAAATAATAGAAAATTTTTAAATATATTTCAAAGTTTTCTCCTTCACTTTGTGAATCACGTATTTTTCTTCTCATACACCTTATTCAATTATTGTTCAACATATTTGAACAGATTGTACAATAAATAAAAAATATTGAGTCAGGTACCTAATTTTAATATAATATTAATAAAATAAATTGTTGAAGTTGGCAGACAACCATTTAACCACTGATTATTTAAGGTAGATACTCATGTACTATGCTACATACATTGTAAATTAATTTCATTAATTCTCTTTTGTTGTGAATTTATAAAGGTAATTAGCGGTAATTAGGTATAACAATAAATTTATAATTTTGGTTTTGAATAGATGAATATATTTGGAAACCCTGTTTTGTACAAATTTAGGTACCACCCACCTAAGTCATTTTAACTGAAATTTAATCTGAATCTCTTTTGCGGCTATTTTTAGAATTTTCTTTTCATGGGCTTCCACATACCATTACCTATATTATTTCTTTGATGCAAATATTCATTGTTAATAATAGTTCACTTTCGTCTAAATATTTCAAGCAAGTTCCTTTGCAATGAATTATGAGATAGTATAAATATCTAATCGAGGAACTTTTTGATCTTCAAAAAGCCATACAACTATGGCCAAAAATCACAAATATATAAATGTGCAAAACACTAAAAATACTGACAATGAAGTGTATAAAGCATTATATTATTTAATCATATCTACCAAATACTAATAATTTAATCAAAGAAATAACAAACTTTATTATAGGCCTAAACCTGACCGTGTATTTCGGCAAGGCATTACATTTTTAGTATACTTAATCATCAAATGTTGAGTGGGTAGCATAATTAAAGAGTAGATGCCTTATTAATCAATAACGATTTAAATACTATACTGTAAGCCATCCAATGCAGATGCACATGTTGGCTGATAAAAGGATACAGAGTAAACCATGAGAAATAACAACGCTCCAGTCATGAACATGGAAAATGCATAGATCAAAATTTCCCACATTATATTATGTGCTTTCTTTTGAGATGATTTTCTTCGGTGCACACTTAGAAATAATACAATACGTATGTTGAATAACTTCTAGACGCGATTCACAGCATACTTGAAAATTGCACCTTGAGCACCCGATGGTTAGTAAAATACGGAACTCGATGGCTAATGAAACATACAAACGTTTTCAAATCTCCAAGACAATATTGACGTGATACGAATTCGCGTATGAAAAGAAAATTACAAATATTGGTCAATAACTCAAAAAATTAAATATGAAATAAAACTTATAATACCTATTATACTATAATTAAAAAAAAACCGTGCGTTGATAAACTATTGTTTGGTGATAACACAGAATAAAACAACCGTGTTATCATCTATTCTGTGGTTTGATTGCCGGCATAGATAATATTGTTTATAGTTCTCTATAGTAAGTTCTATACAGTATACACTGCAGACAATTTTTCATAGACTTCACACAATTATACGTTACGGTCTAGGACATTTTCATAATATAGGCTGTGGCAGTGTGCCTTTAACAGTTTAATGTTTTTCAGAGAAGAGAGAACACAGTAATCAATAATTGGCACTATTTATATAGTATTTGGCAATATCGCGGTACGTTACATATGTAGTGTGTGGTGTGTCTAATGCACAGATCTATAACTATAGAAGCTCTGTTCAACAATATTAAAATGTAAAAAAATATTTTATATTCACAATGATTATATTTATATCAATATTAAAATTAATTCGATTTGATATTTTTATGGCAATATGTATTAACCACTATCATAAATAATAATGTAAAATATTTAGTTGATATTAATTTTTTTTTGACAATCATTTAGTACGTCAGTACAATCAGTTGGGACTAATAAATAATTAATATAATTTAACTGTATAGTAAATAATAGTTCCGTTTGATTATATTTCATACCTATAGAATTTATAACGCATACTAAAATATAATTTAAACAATTTCTGGATATAAATGTCGTGATTATGGATAAATAAGTAAATAAGTAATAACCTTCAATAATAATAATAATTTATTATTAGCCTGGAATAAAGATTTTTTGGAATTTGAACTATGGCAAACGAAGAGCGATACCTTCCATTGTGGATGACAGAAAAACAAGTAAGAACTATATACCTATCGAATCTTCCATTACTCACACGTCTATCATGTCCCCTGAATTGTTTAAAAACTTTCGTAGACTTCAGTTACATAACTTTCTTTATACCTTCAAATATACATTTGATTAAAATTTAGTTCACTGTACATTTTGAGTATTTTATTTTTTTATTAATGTCAGGTTATAAAAGAAACAAAAGAGTTTGTGCAGTTTGAAGGACAAATTAAACAGTGTATATATCCAAATATGTTAGCATCGTATGCAGAGGAAATTTTGTAAGTTTGATGAGTTTTACAACTCAGTGTACCGTAAATTTAATTTGTGCTTATCACAATGTTAGTATGATATTATCTATAAGTATAATTGGTACTGGTCTAGTTGACCTCCTCTAATCACATCTCTTATGTTTTTGATTTTCTATCCATTTGTTATAAAATGTATATGTTAGTTATAAGTAAAATCCATGTAGAAGAATGAATGATATAAGATAGGTACAACAGCGAGTACCGTATATAATAATATGGAGTACTTACCTTAGTTATTCAGTTGTTGTCATCACTGAAATATGTATAATATACTGAAAATACTGTAGTACTTAAACAAAAAATATTAATTTCTAACAAATGTTTAGTGATGATTCATTGGCAATAATATTTTTTTCAAAACGCAAATATTATTCATAAAACTAGGACTTGTCTTGTGACAGTTGACACTGAATGGTTTTAAATCTACTAAGAGATCGATGACAATGTCATTTAAGATCATACCGAGCAGAAAAAGGTGTTAAGACTAATAAGATTAATAATAAGGATACTAAGTAGTAAGTGTTAAAGTAAAGTTACCTACTATTTTTCACTTAGTTTATGGTTGGGCTCATGAACATCAGTAGACTTTTGTAAATACAAATTCGGAATTTTTACTTAATTTATCTATTTTTATTTTGGCCGCCTTAATTTTTAGTTTAAAAGTATAATCTAAAATATACAATATTAAAAATTTTTTTAAATAGTTTCCGTATTTTTTTTTTACTAATTATTGTTTATTTGATTAGAACATTGAAAACACGAGAGATGTAACTGAATGGCGAGGGAATACGTTCTTTGGGAGGGGGAGGGGTTACTAGACCAGTACCGTTTATTTATTGAACCTTGCGTTACCTAATGAGTTGTGAACTCACATTTATAGAATATTGATTTTTCAAGTTACAACATTTTATTCTTTTTACGTCTATGTTTAGGACCAAAATTGAGTCTAGCGAGATGTCTGAAATTGTTTATGGCTTTGATATGGAATGGCCAGTATCTTTTAACGGAAAATCAAAAAAAACTGCTCTTATACAAATTTGCACTGACCATTATACATGTTATTTATTCCATGTATGTGTTTTAGTATTTTAATTTTTTTATTGTTGGCGTATGATGTTAGTGATTTAAATTTATATAACATAGGTATATCATATCATAAATCTCCCATCAATATTTGTGCAGCTCATTAATCATCCAAAAGTTAGATGGTCTGGTGTATTTATTAAAAAGTAATTTTTTTCCCCTTGTTTTTCTTAAATAACTATTAATCAATTGCATTCTATATTTATTGTTTATAGTGATTTTTCAAAGCTTGCAAGAGATTTTGACATTGATGTTACTGGCGCTTTAAATGGTATTATTGATTTAGGAACTTACACAAACAACGTTTTGGATTTTGATTTGTCTACTAGATGGAGTATGGCCAATTTGGTTCGACATTTAGTAAGTTCATAATTGTAAGATATTGTATAGGGTAAATATTCATACTTAAGTATTTATTTTCAATAGCTTAAAAAAGATATTAATAAAGACTCAAATGTTCGTATTAGCAGTTGGGAAAACATAGATTTAGATCAAAATCAATGTATGTATGCAGCAACTGATGCTTTTGTAAGTGTAACTAAATATGAATGTAATATTATATTCAAATAATTCAACATTATCAATGGTTCTCTTAAAATTTTTCATTATTTTAGGTATCCTTAATATTGTATGAACATCTAAGAAGATTTGATAAAGAAAATGAACTCCAGATTAATTAAATTATTAAAATTAGGGCAAATGAATTACGATTCATGTCTTAAATTGCAAAACCATTTATCAGATTCCCTAAAAACATCAGCCATTGACAAATGTGGTTATCTCCTTATTGTAGAACATGAACCTGTTTATACGGTAGGTATCAGACAAAAAGACTACGATTCACTTTTACAGGACAATTTAATTAAACTGGGTGCAGAATTCAAACGTACTAACCGAGGCGGTCTAATCACTTTCCATGGTCCTGGACAACTGATTGCTTATCCAATTTTAAATTTAAAAACATTTAATCCTAGCATTCGGTGGTATGTTTCAAATTTAGAAACAACTATAAAAAATCTTTGCAATGAGACATATGGACTTACTGCAACTACTACATCTGACACCGGAGTCTGGATAGGTAATCATAAGATCTGTGCAATAGGTGTAAGATGTAGTCGTTATGTTACTACACACGGCCTTGCCTTGAATTGTAATACAGACTTATCCTGGTTCAAACATATTATACCCTGTGGCTTACATGGTAAAGGAGTTACCTCTCTTAGTGAAATATTTGAAAAAAATATTTCTGTCAACGATGTGTTACCATATTTTTTAGAACATTTTTGTAAATCATTTTCGTGTGCCATTGTAAATACTGAAATTGATAAAATAGCTTAGTTCAATGAAATAATAATTAATTAGAATTTAGAATGCTCGAATATTGTAAAAATTAGATTATTTGTTGTAGCATTTTATTAGTTTTCTTTAATTTTTTGGTTTGCATTACTTATATAATACACATGGTATGTAAAATTAATTAAACTAATATTTTTGTTTGTTGATATTTAAAAATGAATTACTTGTAACAACTATTTATGTAAAGTTTTTACAATCTGTTATTCCATTGTCCAGTGTTGTGTCAATAAATAAAACATTTGATATCTTCTGATTTCACATTATTGTTGAGAAAATTGTATTTTAAACATATCACAATTAATAACAATTTTTCAATAAAATAATAATAATTTAAATTTACCACAAATTATTACTAAAACTTATTTAATGGATCACCCTAAATACAGGTGTTATCTGAATTAAGTAAATAAAGAACAAATAATTTATGAAAATAGTGGACTAATTGTTCTACAACTGACAGTAGTTTTCCAAACATTACCTTCACTCAGTGCTGTATAAAGATAATTTATTAAATATCTAGATTAAGAAAAAAAAAAGAGCATTTATTATCCAGATAAAAAAAAGATAATTTTTTTGTTGTAATAGGTATTTATCACAAAACTAAGTGTATAAATTATATCAGATAATATTATGTAACACGTCTGAATTTCATCAGTCATGATTTATGTAACTTTTCTACGTTAAATAAATACTATTTCTGAAAAAAATGTTATATGTTTTTTAACTTAAGTTTAAAAAGAGAAAGGATACCTAGTTTTTAAAACACCACAAAATTTGGTACTAAAATTTAAAAATTATTTAAACTAGAAATTTTGAGTATAAATAAATGAATGGTTTCTTTTTTAATGGCAATAAGCCAATAAATAATAACAATAATGGTATTTGCATACCTATTTAAATAATTTATATAAATGTTCAGTATTTAAAATTCTGGAAATAATTTGATAGATTATGGTCATTGGTATACTAGAAATAAACTCCTTGAATACTTAATTATTGAACCTATGATAAAGATTATTATATTGTTGAAGACTAAAGTGTTTTGTATATTTTATATTCTTATCTTAGATGTTATAATATTTTAATACAAGACCGCAAAAATCTATTATTCAACTTATTTATTAGATTATTACTACGAATATTTAAAATATGAACTCAATAAATCGTATTATTTAAGAATGAAAAATATGTTGTATAAATGTATTTATTCATTTTTTTTTTTTTACAACTAATATACAATCTGTATCAATGTATCATTAATACAATAAGATAATTATGCTAAGAGTACATTCACAAGAAATAATTTGATAAAAGGAGCCACCCATTGATGACACTTTCTATGGTTAGGTAATAATTATTATGATTTTTTTTTTTTGATTTTTTACTGTAACAAATCACACCACTTGCGCGTCTTAGGGGATTACCTGGTATGGTAGCGGAGGCCAATTTTTTGATGAGTGGATTGGAATGAGTACTTAGGTGGTTGTGGAATCTTTTATAGTACCTAACATTTGGATTCCTGAGCTATTGTTTTTAGTTTTATACTCTGTGCGCCGAGAGAGCGCAAGTCCGCGGCGCATCCAAATGGAGGGAAAAATTTGAGGCGTAAGGAGGTGCATTTGTTAATTTCCTCAAATGTATCTATAAATCATAAATTACAATACTAATAAGTAATAATAAACTAATATATCATACAAGTGATAATAATAATAAAAATAAAAATGTGTACCAATTATGTATATTAGCTATTTTATAATCGGAAAATATAAAATACCTAATAATCATCAATTAAAATTTAATTGTATCTAGATATTTTAATTATTTATCTTAGATCACAGCTTAGATAACACGTTTCAAATTTTATCTGAATCAGATAAAAGATAAAAATATACCTATCCAGATAAAACAACACTGCTTTCAGCAAGGCTTCAGGCAAAGATGATTGCATAAAAAGTTTGGAACAATGATGCAGTTTAGTACCATGTATTTTTTAATTTTTGTTATTGATATTTGTTTTGGGGCACAAAATCAAGAATATTTAAAACCAAAAAAAAATGTTCCTCAAACAGACTTGTTATTTTGGTGTAATTAAGATTTAAACAGACACTTTTAAAATATTTGGTTGAATTAATTTCAATTTTACACAAATGTTGGGTCAAAAACTTTAAAAACCAGTGATTTTTACTTGAAACCAGTTTTTCGACCAACTCGATTTTGTTGTAGTGTAACTAATAAGAATAACTGAAAATACGTGTAATTTCAAGGAATGTTAATGCTAACATTTTATAAAACCCCAATTTTTTAAAAATATTTTGACTGAGCTGACTGTTTTTTTTTTTATGTATGTACACGTTACTTCAAATTTAGACAATATTAGATACTAAAACGAAGAATATAACAGGTTTAGTTATTTTGTTGTAATTTATAAATATTATTGGTGACCTGTGGGTACTTGAATATTTTAAAGTAGATTTATTATTATATTTTATTAACACAATGACATTTTCGAAAATACAATATTTTTGGCAAAAATGATTCAACCATATCGATATCACCAATTACTAAATACCAATTTAAAATTACTCTAATAGCAAAAATATAAAATATTATACTGATAACCAAACCCTCCTTCTAGTCCTTCTTTCAAAATTGTTATTCTTATTTTTAATAATTTTGTACCATTGAATTCAAATTTAAATCATGCATTATAGCCTACAGCACAAAACAATACAGTACCTAACGCACACAACTTATTTTCAGTAATTTAGTAGAGCAGTACTCACTTGCCCACTTTTTTTGATTTTCCTATTACTTTGAAAAATACTGGGAATTTTGAATTTTATCTCAGAGCCTAACCCTCCTGGTTGGCCGGTTGGAGGTTATCAAAAACTGAGAGTTGCAACTTGTGTTTATAACAAATTTTGAAAAGGTTTATGTGGTGAAAAGGGTTATCAACAGCGGTTATCAATATTTTCCCGCTTTTTTTAGGTTATTTTGTTGTCTGTATTCTGTTCAGTGTTCACTACTATTGTGTATTTTATGTTCATCATTTCCCTATTATATTTTAAAAAAGTCTTTCCTTAGATATACCTAATTCATTATAATTATTAATTATATTGCTATAGGTTATAGGTGTTACGTAGTCGGTCATCTGACTCAATAAACTTATAGGTACTCACGATCGGTTATGTCTAAATCGATTTGTTCAGTTTTGGAATTTGATACCTTAAACCTTGATCGGTTTCATTAATTTGATTAGCAGGCGGCTTGCACGGATGCACGGTATCGGTTTGACGATTTCAGTCTCAATATTTTCTGTTTCTAAGTCAATAATAACATTACAATACTGTCCGGTCGAATTGAACACTATATACAAGTAAACGTATGTATTAAATTGTATTTATTTTTGTATTTGATTACCTAAATTAATGTCGTAATCTTGTGCTTAGATGTTGTATATTAACCTAAATTACTTATATATTATTGTAATTTTCTAATAACAACACAATTTACTGATATAAGATTTTTTTAGTATAATTGAACTAGGTAATTTTATTAATTGTTAGTGTTTGTATTAATCCATTATATGAGCTTTTAGTCTAAGTTAGGAAATTCAAAATATTAAAATATCAAGAAATACTGTTTTCATAATATTTGCTTTAATAGTTATTAAGCATTTTTCATCCATACCAAGTGTTAGCTGTTCTATAATTGAAAGAGATAATGTCTGGTATTATTATATGAAAACAGTTGAGCATCATATTTGAAGGCAGTCAACTTGTTAATCTATCTCCAACAATTATCGCATTTTATTTTGAGTATACTGTTTATTTATATATAATTATTGAATGTACCCTAGTTTGCTTTTTAGTTTTATTGTAAATTTGGTTAAGATAAATGGTGTTAATGATATCTGTTGACTGAATGGCTGTGTATAATTTTTTAAGTGCATTATTGCTTTGAAAAGGAATTTTTTATAGTTTTAGGGTATTTAAATGTGGGGCACAATGATAACATAAATATACTTAACAGAGGAATGTTAAAGGAAGTGAGGAAAGTTGTTAGAGTTGTAAGGAAAATCCTTACTTGGAATGCATTGTCCTTGAAGTAGAGTACCCAAAAAATAATATACTTTGCACTAGTCCTAGTTATCATTATCAATTTAAGTGTTAACTATTTAGTTTGGGGTGCAATTTAATTATATTTTATGGATCAATCATCGTTTTTAAAATATCTTTAAGAAGATGATAAAAAATATTACTCAATCATTTTTTAATAGGTGATTTTGCTCAAAGATTACTTAAAAATCACAAAACAAAACATTTTACCTGAAAGCTTCTGAACTATCGCTCATGGGTTTGAAAGAGAACAAATATTGTACTATCATCCTTATCATAACTAATTTTATTATGTGAATTATTATACTTTTAGTCATTACAATTACATTTTATGCTTTGTTTTCAATTAAGATAAAAAGTAGTATAATTGGAGTATAGGAATTAATGATGTGTGGTAAAAAATTAAATAGGTTGAATAGATAAGCTTTAAGCAATTAAAAATATTTCGAGTCTTCTATAGCTATTAATAGGATGCAGAACACTCATCTATTTTTTCCATCTTACAAACATACGAAATAGCATTATAAGTAGGTTTGGAAAGCTGTAGGAGTTGCATATTTTTTTTTTTTTTTTTGATTTAAAGCAGACCAAGCTAGAATTTAGACCCATACAATGATGAGCTTAAAAATAGAAAATTTAAAATGCAAATTTTGCATATTTTGTCTGGGGAAATAGTACATAGGTATTTCTTTATTTTCATGTTCTTAATGTTATGCATATTTAATATTTTCTAAAAGAATTGATCTTTTTCTTTCTTAAGCTGTGTATTTTAATAATAATATTAAATTTAAAACTCAATATTATTTAATGTTTGTATTTATTGTTATTGTCCCAGTCAACAATTAATTAAACTAAAACAGTGGG